ACTGAAAAAATTTCCAAAATGTATAAATATTCAGTATATTTTTTTCTTAAATCATAGCCCAAATCTCTTCAGTCATCAAAAATATTCAAAGATATTTGAGTACTTTAAAAAATTGTATTCATCGCCACGGTAGCGCAGTCGGTCGAGAGTGCGGTGGCAAGCATTTCTCGGCTAGGCTTCCTACTCTGGTCCGGGTTCGATCCCCGGTGTCGGCACTGGCAATGTCGATGGATAATGGGTGTTTGTCCGCGTTTTTCCAAGTGTAGCCCCCTTCCGCACAAGCCTTTGGCTTTTGGATTTGGGGGTTGTCTCATTTCTGTGGTGAGTTTTATGTTTTATGTTTTATCAGGAACACCAATGCCCGTACCTATAGTTAGGAACCACTTATACAAGTCATCTTCGGATCTCAAGTTTTATAATCGAGTTTGGTAGTTCCGGTCTCACTTTAGTAACTTTAATTTTGTTGTAGTATGTTAATTGGTAAATACGAGATTTTTCTGTTTCTTAAGTTGGTCAGTTGTTGTTTGTCTTCAGTTTGATATTTCATCCGAAATAAAATAATTGGGAATATGTACGTAAGTCTTCTATTTATGTAAAATTATATTCAAATGTAGGTTAACTAAAATTTGATTTAATTATACAATGGTTAACAAAGTAGTGCATACACTATCCGCGGAAATCTATTTTGACTTCATTGGTCGATAATAATAGGTAAAATATAACTGAAAATAAAAGAACTGATACTGCGATAATTCAAAGAAAAAAAGCAAATAGGACAAATAGACAAAGGCAGGATAGTGTTTACTACATATTTTTCGAAAATCTGTTTCTGTTTCGAAACTCATCACTATAAATTTCAATAAGATTTTCAGTATCGCGGATATACCTTTTCGGCATTCTTTTAACATTTTCGTCCGCCACGAGATCAATAAACTTAAAAAACCCAAATTACCTTCAATGGTCATAGTCTAACCTATATTAAAACTGGGTTTGTAATTTTAAAACATCAAACATCAAACTTTTAATGTCAAATTTAACCAAGCACACCTCAAGGTCAGTCTCCGCCCGATTTCAGTATGAGATGTTGCAAGATCACATGGAGTTGTGCTCACCGATAAAGTACGGACTATATGCAGTTGTTTTATTAGTCATGATCCAGTCTGAGATCAACCGAAGTATCGACTATAAGTACGGGTATAAGTTGCCTATATTTCCTCCAACCTTACATCACGTTCCTATTTTAACTGAGTTTCAAATATAACATATACTTCCGTAACGAGAACAAAGTTTGATAGACGTCTAACTAGTTCCTGGTATTTAAATTCAGTTATTACTCACCCGCAAACAAAGCCGCGAGAACATTAAACGCCAAGTTTTTGCCAAGTTGCAATACAAATCCAGGAGCCGCTCTCCAAAATTCGCGTTCGACTTTGGACTTCAAACAACTTGCCGGGTGTAACAAAACCGCGCCCAAACCACCGTCGAACTTGTCATCTGGCTTTTCATTACCTTCTGAAAACCGTAACATGTTAAGCAACTGCTAATTTCTATGAGAGATGAGTTCTGGAAAGCCAGTCTGGCATTTATTTCAATTGCGACGAGCCGTACAGTGCCTTCGTCGAGTGGCTTCCCCAGGATTTGAATGAAAAAGGATTAAAGGAGGACATGGTCTTGGGTCTACGGTAATGAATAATTTTAGTAATTTCTGCCACGTTTAAATACAAAATGAAAGTACGCGAAAATGCTGGATTCGACTGTCATTTTGTTGTCTTCGATTATATTGGATTTTTAAAATACGATTTATTCACTAATTTACCTGGAGGAATTCATTTTTTTTTGAAAAAACATTAGCCACACTCCAGAACAACAAATTTGGTTCCTCTTACAGAACATTTTGTTTCTATCCAAATAGAACCAAGAAAGTATCTAAATAAAGCCAGAGCCTACTGGTCCATTTTCAAAATTTAAATTTCATCTAATGAATTACATAAAATCGTTTTTTATTTTTTTTTCTCGATAACGGTCGCAGATACGAAAAAATCATAAGAGGCAAAAATGTTTTTCAACAAACATAAAATTCAATTTTGATTTTAGAATCTACCAGCGGCGCATCGCACAAAAGTTCAGGGGAAGAAAATGGGACATGAACCCCGAAAAAATATCACTCTGTAGAATATCACGACCATTTGGCATGCCCAATGATGTAAGCTCTACAGCGTAATCTATATTCCAAATTTCAGCTAAATATCTTAAAAACTGTGGGAGCTATAGAGAAAAAACTAAAAAAATCTTAAAATTTCAACACCCTGTAGATCGGTAACGAAGGGTTTGTGGACCTATGTTTATATGAATTAGGTGTTCGAATCCACAGCAAGTTTCATTAAAATCCATCATAACAATCTCCAGATATTACAAAAAAACATTTTTTTTTTTCAAGAACTGACAGTTAATAGCAGAGGAACTAGACATTTTTTTTTAATGAAAGTTAAGTCAAATCATCTTCTTTTGAGTCAAAGAATGTCGCAGTACCATTTTGGTCATGTGCTTATGGGACACTCTGTATATAATACAGTCTTTATAAAAGATTACAAGCCATGTGACCAGTAATTTTATTTGGAACAGTAATCTTGTTTCCTTCACGTTGGTAATTAAATTTTGGTAATAAAATTGAAACAATAAATCAAGATTACAATAAAACACAACATTAGGGTTTCTTATTTCTCGGCCTATTTTTTTTCTCGGATCTCGATAATTCTCGACTAGGAATTCCCGGGAAATCTCGAATTCTCGAGAAATTTCTAAAACTTAAAAAAGTCATAATTTTGGTATTCCAATGCGAAATATAAACATGCTATTATACTTAACAATCATCATTAACATTTATTATTTATTCAGTATTTTTATTAATTACTTATGTTTCTACTTCTACTAACAAAACTAAATTAAACTTTGAGTTTCTTCTTAAAAACCTTTAACTTGTTTTTTTAATAAACACTTTCAATATACTTATGTTTATTTCAATGTTTTTGAATCGTAGTTTTCTTCC